AAAACATAATATTCCAGAAACACGCTTTGCCGATCAGATCAGCTGTTTGTAACACTTCCTTCGTCCATCAGCGCGAACTATAGCATGTCCGCCATGACCTGCCCGAAACGTCATTTGCGGAAATGTAGTTTTTTACCATCAGGGCCTTATGAGTCTATACTGGAGTTTTTAAAAGTTATGTTTGACTTTATGACTTTCTGTGTCGTTTCTGGGATGCTTAGGACTCATATTGCACTGCTGGAAATAGTTTAATTTGATGCATATGCTGTTATTTTGCAAATTTGCAGATTTATTTTCGTTTTTCCTGCAGTATATAAAAATTGGTGTATTTCAAAAATAAAACTATGAAGACACTTAAAATAAATTTCCTGTCGTGGGAAACTATTTTGTGCAACTTTTTTGTATTTACAGTATTGAGGGATAAGCCTTTTAAATTTCTCTAACTAGAAATATATGTTAAAAAACCAAAAACGATTTGCAATTTTTTTGTAGTTTATTGCACCTTTTTGCAATTTATGTAATTACTATGCACTTAATGCATACATATTATTAAAATTTGGGCTGTAATGGTTGTATTGATGTATATCAACTTGAAATGCTCCCAAAAATGGCTCCACAGCATGTAAAAATATAATATAAGCTCTGGCAGACTTGGTTCTATGGTAGGTCTTAAAGGGTTAAAGCCATCTACTAATTCCCTCATATGCATGAAAACAAAGTGAGGTTGCGCTAGGAAGGATTTATATTGAGATCAAAGTGTAATACTGGTGACAGCTGAAGTGTAAACCTCCTGCGTTACATTTCACTTCTAGTTAAGATATTTCAGAAACAGAGAAATCAATCTTGCCCCAAGTTTAATGCCACAGCATTATTACCACACAGACAGCTTGGAAAGATATATTTTTCTTTCTAATAGGCTGTAGAAGGATGTCACCTAACATTTGTGGTGAGAGATATTTTATCTTATAAATTGTGGAGAATAAACATTACAAATTGGTGTAAGCTGAAAACAGGTTGTGTTTTCATACTTTAGGCAAACCATTTTTATATATAAAAAGCTTTTAACAGCATGTTGCTACAAGCCGCAAATTACATTTTTGAGTGTCTCAGAGTCTGCAATCATGTCAAATTATGGACACAGTAACCTATTCACCACAGATAACTACATATCATCTCGCCACTCATCTATAATCACAGTCAAGTCACTCTCATAGAAGGTGTCTTGCATACACAACCAAAATATGGTTATTCAGGTTCAGGCAAAAGCCAATCACAGGCCAGCAAATGGCCTGCACCATTATTCTGCATACAGACAACATAGGGTGTGTGCATCCTCGAGTGGGAGGTAGGGGAAATAAGGGAGAGTGATGGAGTGGAGAGGGAGACATGAGAGGAGGAGAGGTATGCACCCTCCGCAAAGGGGAGAAAGGAAACTGTGTAGGTGGAGCAAATATGTGCTGGCATATCGGTGGGATGGCGTTGAAGATAAGATGGGATGTCAGAGGGGAAAATTTTTACTTACAGCAGATTCCTGACAGATGAAAGAGAGGCGGGAGGAAGTTTCAGCGCGCTCTCCTCCGGAGGGAGCGATATCCGTCCACAAAACCTGACATTGTCAAAGCAAAAAGCACCTCACACACAGAGACTAGTAAGACAGACAGAAGCAGGGTGTGTGTGCGTGTGGGATCTGGCTTTAACACATGTATGTTTGTGCTAACAGGAGGGAGAGATAGAAGCTGAGAGAGCGCGAGAGAAAGAGAGAGAGCCAAGAGATACAGAGATATTGTACAAGCTGACTGGCTGGTGTGAAAATGGGAGGGGGCCAGATTGTCCAATAGTGTAACAGATGAGCAGAGTGAAGAGGAGATGGCAACAAAGACTGATTTTTTTCCCCTCCATTTCCTGCTCTCGGTGTCCCTTAACTCTTCTGCCTCTCTTTTTGATTGCGTGTGTAAGGATAATGAGAAATATCCAACAAGCCAAACTGTGAGACAGTCACTCATTGACATGAGGAGAGGCTCTCTTTCTGCATAGAGATGTGGAAGATGAGATGGGAGGACCAAAAATCGCCTGAACCCTGTTGGAAACTCTAATTTAATTGGACATCAATTTAAAACAGTGATGAAATGAATTATTAAATGCCATATAAAAGAGAATCAGAGGAAGGTGGGAGGTAGGACATCGTCTTTGTGAGTTATTTAAGAATCTAGAGAAACATAGTGGTTATGATGGGAAGTACCGTAAAGAATTTTGACAGGCAAACTGCTGCAGGTTTCTTGTATGATTTCTATATGTATGGACAGAGCAGGCACCGTTTGCCTCAAAAGTGTGAGTGGAGTGCCTGTGTGCATGCGCCTGGGGGTTGGGACCGAGCTGTCTTTCCATGATTTTTGCTGCAGGAACACTATGTTGCCATGGAGACTGCATCCAGAGCAGCAGAACACGCAGATGGCTGCTCCCTCGCTTTCTCAAACCGTCCAGTTAGCTTCTCATCCCTGACATGAAATTCACAAAAGCTGCACCTTCTGAAATTAAAAGAAAAACCTCCAGGTATGGTTGAATAACTGAAGAATTACTATTTTTGCCAATTTGCATATAACGCATTCAAAGTGTAAATCACTGGTATGGTTTGTTGACGTTCATAATCAAGAACTAAAACAAGATCTTATAGTAAATATAGTGAAAAAGAGTTCATGTTTCACCACCGCTCACCTGTGGCAGCAAACCCAAATTCAGACCAGAATGCAGGGCTGAACAAAAAGGTGAGCTTTATTTTAAAGCGGATGATAACGTCCATAAAAGGCAACTAAAGCGTAAATAATCCAGAGGCACTGAATTAATTTTCACACACACAGACACACACTGAGGGGTAATCAGGGGGATGAGGCACAGGTGAAACTAATTAAGATAAATCCACAGGGGTAGTAAAAGGAAATGCAAAGCACTGGTGGCAAATGACTACCAAAATAAAACAGGATTTGAGGAATGATAACAGGTAAGGCAGTGAAAAAAAGCACAATATATATGTATTTTAAGGAGATTTTAAAAAGTGTAAGCTTGTGTGAATTAAAAATAAAAAGGTCTGTTTATAAATGCGTGCACATATGTAATTGATCTGTGATTACAGAAACACATCTGGTTTTTAAACTATTGATTATTTCTCCTTTCTTTAAAAGCAGCTCCTATAACAGCACTTAAGTCCCCAACAAATTTTTCTAAGAAGACAGTAAAGTATATTGTATCCTATCTCATGTCTCCAGGTTTGTTCCAAAGAACTGAACCACAATTAACTAAAAGCACCTTCAGCACACCTAGAGCTAACACTGGAAACAGTTAAAAGCCAGATGACCTGAGAGCTCTGACTGGGTTAGGAAGAGTGAGCACGTCAGAAATCTACTGTGAGGCCGACCAGGGGCAGATCTAGAGGAATTTTTTAGGGTGACACAAGGGTGGCATGGAAATCAGATGGGATGGCAAAATCAAAGCCATTTTGTCACACATATTCAGGCATTACATTCTGTAATATGTACTACACATGGTTAAAATACATCAACTGCAGCAGGTATACACATGTTTCATATAATCATAGTCTGTAACTTTCTTATGGGCTTTAACCCAAATTACTAAACATTTCAGTTACATAAAAAAATGTGACCTTGTTGAAATCTGAATTGCCCACGGTATTAATTCAAAATGTGCTCTTGCACAGTTATTGGTCTCAGTTGTAGCTATGCTCTTATTCCTAATGCCAGCTTATTTTGATTCATATGCAAAACTACTGTGGCACTAGGGGTGGCACATACCACCCCATGCCACCACAGTATCTGCCCCTGAGGCAAACCATTTGGGGCTTTATTAACTAACAAAAAGGAAAGGGAATTCTACACTGTACTGGGAGCCAATGAAGTTCTTTCAGTACTATTTTTTAGTAGTGTTTTTTTTTCTTCTTTTTTTTGCCTCACAGCAACAAGAGGAATTATGACATGTGGCATAAGTCTTTATGTGTTGTCCAAACACAAAACAAATACACATCAACAGGCATGCCTAGGGTCCCTTTTTATGTGGGGCAACACAACATTTTTATTCCTTGTCCCCCTAAACTACATCTTGAGCCAATGTCCTGCATTTTGACTGGTTGGCTCTGAAGAACATACACTTTTCTGAAGTCTGACTATTACCCAGAGTATATTAAGGGATGGCCTTTTATTATAGCCAGAAGAACTACTTATAAGGGAAAGTTACAAGTCACTAAAAAGTCACAACCTTTCCAGATTTTGTTAATATGATGAAACCACATAGAAAATGAAACTATTATATTGTTATTTGGCTTTTTGGATAGTTATTTTTCAGTTTTGCACACAGGGGAAATATGATGTGAAGTCAATCAGTATGTGTGTGCCATAACAACAGCTAAAACCGTTGGTTATGGCTCAAAAAAGGCATACCACTTTATGGATACTCTAAAGTGAAGCCTAAAAGACAATCTAGGTCAATCTAGGCATGCATATCTTTATATTAAGCGAGAATTTCTGTGCAAAACTAACTATGTGGTGGATACTTTAATAGACATGCAAAACATGTCCTCTCTGTCAATAGTGCTGCTTCTAAAATGAAATCAAAAATGACTGAAAGTAAATTTGCCTTTGAAGTTGCAATAAAAAATCAATTACTAGAGAAGATATTAATATTAATTGCATGCTCCAACACTGACATTTACCCAGATAATCAATGAGCCCTGCACTGCTGGAGCTCCCTGATGCTAACACCCATCTCACCAGCGAACAGCCTAATGCGAGTAACCACTTTCAGCCCTGTGCAGGATTATTTATATGTGACTAATGGATATCACTGCTTTAGGTTACAGTGATGACAACAAATGATGTATCAGAACATATAGTGACAAAAAATATAGTGATGATAAAAATAAAAACAAAATGTGGTCAAAGGGGAAAACACACACATACACAAAATAAGTTGTTATATGAATTGTATGTACTTACCCGTCCATTTTGTAATGTACAATCCGGCTGCTAATAAATGACAGCAGGTAAGTGTTCAAAATGATTTTTCCACCTGGATAGAGAATAGCCGGGATTAGCAACAAACGCGCATAACTCAAAGCACACAAACCAAGCACCTTCGACATTACGTTTGAGCGATTCATTTACACCCACTCCTTTAGATTTTGTAGAGTTCAACAACACAATATGTCACGTGCACTTCACCATAGATTGCATTACTTTTGTCAAAAGCATGAATTTTAAAACTTTGATTTTGTGGATTCCTCTGTGGCTTGGCACCCTATGATTAACCTCGGATAAATTGCGCCATCTACTGAAAGATTTGGACCCTGCAACGCGTTCATATTTAATATGGATGTCGATGAATTGTTTTATATGGTGGACGTACATGCTGTGCAAAACAAAAAAAAACCCCAAAAAACCCCCAAAAGACCATAAACCGACAAAGTATCTTACATGAGATCTCAAATTTTGGTAAAATCAGAACAGCTATGGTGTAAATACTTTTGGTTTGAAAGTATTTACAAAGTGAAACACATGCGATGATTTTGGTATGTGAGAAGCACGTTGAAACTTTCAATAAATAAACGATTTCTTTGTGATCAATGAGATAAACGTTCGGCACGGATAGACAGGGAAATAAAATGCACAGACGTAACCGTCGACACACAGCCACATGAGCACTGGTGTCTGGCTGGCCATCGCAGAGACCTCGTGGCGCAACGGTAGCGCGTCTGACTCCAGATCAGAAGGTTGCGTGTTCAAATCACGTCGGGGTCATATCTATTTCTTCTTTCACACGCTTGCAATTTGCCTTAAATTTGCCAATTATAGCGGAACAACAATACAACCAAGGTGTCTTAACGCTGAACGTGTTAACTGCTTTAAGAATGCGTTTACGTTGACCGTCTACCGACAATATCTTCACGCAAGTCCAGTTAATTTTATTAATCTGAGTTTTAAAAAGTCTGAATGAACCATCATAACCTGTCAGACTAACTTCACATCAGTTTAGCACTGCATTAAAATGTACACGTATGTGGTGATAGCCACGGAGGCTGAGGAATGGTCTTCAACCAGAAACACAGTCCTGTTTCCCCGTGGTTAGACACGAGAGCCGAAAAGCTTAACCATTCCTTTCCCCCTGTAAAGCAGAGGTGCCTCACAGAGGATCCCTGACTTGGAGTCGCATTAAAGGTTAAAGTCTAATGTGCTGTTCTGGAAACACGCTTGAGTTTATCACGAGTGGATTCTTCGTGGTTTTCCTGTCCAACCTCAAATCTAAATGGAGCACTTTGCAAACAGTCTAACTCTTGTATCTATTACTACACTAGACAAACAATTTTCAGCAGAATAAATTAAAACAACACCTGTCTACAGACTAAAATCACTTTCCTATTATGTTGTAATGCATTCTATTAATATGTTTAGTGTTTATCTACCTTTTTGGTCCAAACTCCAGTCCCCACATTTAACAAAACAAACATCCAGGGCGGTCACCTTATTTGCTGGAAGTCTTGTGTTCCTTGGTTGTCTACATTCCCTTTTAGTTTTCTGTGCTATGAAGACAATGACTCCCTCTCTCCTCTCAAATGTTCCTCTGCTTAAATGCTTCATCACAAAACAAGTTGAAAGTCTCCCTCCCTCTCTCACTTCTCAGTCCAAGTTTCCCCCTCCCCACCAACTTTCTCATCTTTCACTGGGACACACTAAACTCCGAACACTTCATTAGCATGGCCCTAGTGAGAGTGCAGCTTGGCTAAGACAGCAGGTCACCTCTTGTCCTAGGGAGTTGACTCACATGAGACAGACTCACTGTGCTCAACAGTCTATCACAATGGTCCGATTGTACACTGGAGCTCTAGTTTTACATCAGACGGGCCAGTTGCTGCTTATGTACCGCTCCTTTAATTTCATCTCCACTTAATGGAAGCCTATACTCTGAAAGTAAGCACCTCTGACAAAAAGAGCTTTTTACATGCTTATAGCCACGAGTTTGTCAGACCAAGTAGTCCAAATCTTTCCAGAACTCCCTATTCACTCTCTTTCATTTGAAATGCCAGGCAACTGCAAATGTCCACACGGAGCACTTGCTGGTGGGAGGGATGGATGTGGGAGGCCAAAGAACAGTCAGAAAGGAGCTTGTATGAAGCAGTTTGTTCCAGGATGCATTATTATACTGTGAGCTCAAAATGGCTGTAAACAAACCCTGTAACCCAAGCAACAGCACTGAATGCCTCTTTATCCAAAATCTTATCTACTGCTGAGCAGAGACACCAGGACAGCATGAGGAGATCAACAGCAATGTGTCCTCAGCAAAGGCTCATTTTAGTTACTACAGTCAGGAGCCCCCTCAAAGTGGGGGCAGTAGGGACCCCGGGCCCCCAGGCAAGACAGTCCTATGCTTTTAATATGATAATAAGGTTGCAGAAAAGCTGCTTCATCTCAGGGCCAACGTAGAGACGGGCAACAGTTCACACTCTTACATGATCGAATACTCATGTCTTTTCTAAAGAAGTTGGTTTTTAAGTTGAGATTCAGTCTCCCAGAATGGAGTTAAGCTGCTTCTGCTCAGCTCTGCTGAGAATCATTAAAGTGATGATTGGGAGTCAAACAAAGAATTAAAACAATCATGGATTTCAAAATCCGTACCAATTTTCAGTAATATAAACTTTACTATGAAATTATCTGAGCATACAACTCTTTACTTTCTCCTTTTGCCAAATTTTCCCAAGTAACCTAATTTGAAAATGAAACAATAAAACCGGAAATTCTGTTTGTGGTGTGCGACCCCAATATTTTTAGTGGCCCCAAAATGGCCTACCCTATGAAACAGTTCTGGAGGAGCCACGGACTACTGTGTGAGCTAAAAGCATAATTGATATACCTCAAATCCAAGGCATACTCATTAAGTAAAAAGGACTAAAGAAATAATAGATGAGGTCAAAGGCTAACTGGAAACTGAGCAGGTATCACCAAGATGAAGTTACCCTCAGTCAGACATCCAAGAAAGTCACAACAATAGTATATGAGACAACAATTTAATTTCAACAGTTATTTACCATTTGTGACTACAGCCAATATTACAGATAAAAATTTAAAAGGTAGATTGTCAGCCTTTATTTCATACAAAAAAGACAAAAATGTGAGGAACCTGTTGCGATTTTTGAATGTGGTTACTCTCAAAAATCAAAACCTTCAGTTCAAAGCAAGTCCATGTTTGCCTTGTTTCCACTGAAGGGTAAAACCATAACATAAAAAAAAGACAGTTTTTAACAAAAAAGGCAAAGCTTGGTTTCCATCTCCAAAAAAAAATTCTTATATTAAGTACTTGAGCCTTTGAAATTTTGCTCTTCCAAATCACCGGGTTTGCTTCTGCCTCCAATACGCCTGAAGAAGGATATAAATCCAGAGGTGCTCGCCTGCCCTTCTGCATTATTCCCAGCCTTACTAATTCCAGTTTCCTCTTTTGTTACACTTTCCGTCCTTGAGCCAGAGGAGAATGACCTGTGAGATGCGTTTTTCTGCAGCAGGTCTCCCAGTCGGAAGCCAGATGGAGGGGACTGCACAGCTTCATCAACAGAATGAGACCTGTAGGTGGTACCCTGCGACAAACCTCTCCGATTGGGGCATTCAGGAAGAAAACGAGAACCCCTAGATGGAGATGTCTCACTGACAGTTTTGGGTGCATCATTGCCCTCATCGCTCTTCCACACACCATCATCAAGGTTGTCGCCACCATATGTGGATGACAGCCTGCGTTGGTGGGCTGGTCTGTTTCTCTGGGGGCTGGTTTTCTGAGTGCAAGTAAAAGGGCTGAGGATAGTCCATGGGGAGCTCACATCCCCATTGCTGGCAAAGAAGTAGTCTCTGGTCCTAGGTCGAGGTGTTTTTGGAGTAGCAAGTGTGTCTTGCTCTCTCTGCAAAGGACAAGGAGTACCTGAACCTCTCTCACAGTTGAGGCTTTTTGTGGTTTTTTGGTAGCAAAGCACATTCAGAGAGATCTTTTCCATCTTCTTGGCTTCTTTGTTTTCCAGTTTTGTCATGTCTTTATTCTCTTTTTGTGCTTGGAATGGTTTCTTATGACTCTCTTGGTTAGAACGGGGACTTTGCTCAGATGTTTCTACCGATGAATCAGTCCGGGAAGAGCACTCCGAGGGTGACCCTTC